GGCTAATTAATTCCTCCGTTAAAATTCAATAATTGACTCTATTTTTTTTATCTGCGGCAAAGCCGCCTGATTTTCATAGATTTTTCTAAATATGTATAGTAAAATCTAAATACATGTATAACTACTGGCTATCCAGCCCCCTACCGTATTCTTGTTTGGGTGTGGTCACACCATGCCCATCTGGTGTTACACACACTCCTGTTACCAGGGTATGTGTAACCCTGTAACAGGCTGAGCCGACGCGACTCCCCTTGCGTGCCGTCTCAGATGCTGCGACAAATTCGGCTTCCATAGTCGAGATAGAGTCATACCACCCTGTTTCTTGGCGCCCAGATGTCAGGCATCCCATTTAGTAGAACAATATTACCTGTGAGCGACTTTCTGTCTCCCTTGTCGTGTTGGTAGCATCTCTTCTCCTCTTCTCTCCTCTATATGAAGGGAGAGAAGACAAAGAAAGAGACTGTAAGATTCAAGCGTCCTTGATCCGTTGCATTCGGCTTTACCGCGCTTTTCAAGCCGTATCACTTTGCTTCTACCGAGATAGCACGCAATCCTCTTTGCCAATTTCCAGTCTCGTACACGCGGCGCATGAGTCTGTCACGTGGTTTTGTGAACCGCAAACACAATGTCTGGCCGCGTCCATCGTGTGATCCATTGTAGACTACCGGCCAACGACTGAACGAACGAATACTTGGCAACTAGAAGCTGGCATTTTCCTGCAGCACTTCAATGTCTGGAGTGACCTCGCCGTAGCAGTCGTCACCGATAGGTAGGGTTTGCCGATGCCATACCGTGCTCATGCAACAGCTCGACAATAGCCTCCTCCTGATCTAGAGCATTTGCGTGCGCGTCGCGTGCTATCACTCTTATACCGAGAAATTTCGCCATTAAATCGAGTTTCTTGATTGAAAGCGAAGCAATTGAAATGAAGAATCGCTTGACCGCTACGGCTCTTGTTGCTGTCACAAGGAGATCGTCGACGTAGACACCAACCACTGTCAAGTCTTTTTCGTCACGCTTGAAGTACAGGCACATGACACTAATTTACTGCTTGAAACCAGCGTCTGAGAATCTTGCGTGTAGTAGTTGCCTCCATAATCGTACCGCCTGCTTCAGTCCACACAAGTACTTCTTTAGCTCCAGCGCTTATCGGTCGCACTATGTTTCTTTCGATACTCATCTTTGATGTCCAAACCACTTGGCACGTAAAGCAGGAAAAATATGTTCTACTATATTAATTAGGACAACCTAAGGTTTAAGATATTAGCGGCTCTGCCGCAACAACATCAATTAAATAGAGTTATAATTTTGAACGGAAAAGTCTCTTACCTTGATCAAGGTTTTAAGCACCCTTGGAGGCAGTGGATGGCGATCCGCTGCACTTGTACTGGTTATTGTAAGGAACGTAAGGTCGCTTAGCTTTCTCTAAGCAAAGAGATACGGCAGCCCCGCTGCACTTGGTAGCACCCGTAGTCAATTTACACCTGAGTCGTTACGACTGATCCACTGTGAGGATGGAGCAATACTCCTATTTGCCCCTTGGCATGCAAGTTGGGCTGGATAAGCTGGTGACCCTGCTAAGCCCTGAGGGCATAAAGCACTTTGTTTTACAAGGGCCCGAAGCGATAAACGCGCGCCAAGAGGCGTTTTTGAACTTTGAAAATGCCCTACTAGAGCACCTACAGCAGAAGCTGTCGGCGTCGACTGCATCCATGACGCCACCGTCGACAACGGATGACTCTTTCCAACCCAGGCCGCTCATGATGAACGTTAAGACCTTCGAGGGTAAGGATGAGAAGACGGCGAAGCCGTATGTTATCTGCAAGACTTAGGACGTCGACTCTGACCCAGGGTGTGTCTACTGTAGACGATAGCGTACAGCTATATACCTTTGTCAATGGTGTGACGGGAAGGAAGACGGCAACATCACCCTCAAGGCTTTTTCCGCGGTGGATGCTCTTCTTGTGCTGGACGAGAGCCCTTCGAAGAGTTTTGGCGGTGCCTTGAAGGCAGACGACTGAGCCGAAGTGGTCATTATACGACAGAACGAGGAGATTAATTCGGCGTCGCTTTTGGATGAAGCTGTCCTGGAGGACACCAAAAGGGTGTTGAACGCATAAAGTGGATCGTCATTATTGAAGAATCCCTCGGATCTATATTATCCTTTAATAATGAAATTAAAAGACATTGTACCTGGTTCTGGGAACCAATTACTGCGTAACACGCCGATAGCCCCTGCCATTGGCGCCTTTTTTCGTGTGAAGCACGACGCTGGAATGGTGCATGAGAGCAAGTCTCCCCAGTCGGCACCCACATTTTGTGTCCGGAAGCTAAACGGCAAGTGTGTATCGCTCGAGCTTACAATAAGCTAAACGCTGCCACCAGTCCGGCACAGACGCCAATTTCTAGAATGGATGTTCTCCAGAACAATATGGTTGACTGTACAAAGTACAGCGCACTCGACTTGGTCGATGGTTGTTACCAATTACTCATGAGAGAGAGTATTATTCCTATGTCAGCGGTAAGTACTCTGAGTGGGTTACTCTGGAAA